CTTTGTAAGGCCAGGAGCTTTTTTCAATTTAATTTGAAATTATTTTAAAGCCCAAGGGGAACTTGAATCAGTGTAAATATTTAGTAGTTATTCTGTCATGTGTCATGAAAACTTAAGATTTAAAATTTTTCGTTTTTCTAATCAAGAAAATATCTTAATTTCAGTGCTCTATTCCAATTTAACTTTAAAATTATAAAGAGACTTTTCTTCCATAAATGAGAACTATATTTAATATTTTGCATTTCAATAGGCCTTATAGTTTTTTCTTTCTGTTATACCACATGTAGCTTAAAATGTTTAAACAGAGAAAGAAAGAAAGATAGAAAGATAGAAAGATAGAAAGATAGAAAGATAGAAAGATAGAAAGATAGAAAGAAAGAAAGAAAGAAAGAAAGAAAGAAAGAAAGAAAGAAAGAAAGACCCAGCCTACCTATTGTGTAATGAAATGTCCCATGGTGATACCTCAGCATGTTTCAACAGTGATTTCTCTTGCTCATTTGTGTTGCCTCCTGTCCTGCTCTTTCTGCCTGAGACCAGTTTTTACTTGGGAGCAGACTGTCCTCTGCTAAGCAGGGGGAAAGCCTGCCTGTGGCCATCCTGTGTGCGATGTCACTGTGCTCCTGTAACCCTGAGCCCGGGGAGGCAGCAGGAGCCTCCCGTTGGTGATGCTGCCAGTCTAATGGAAGTATTTGAATGAGTAAAAGATAGCATGTAGACATGGGGGAAATTTGGTTTCTGGACGAGCAGCTTAACTTGAAAATTTAAGTTCCGTTGAATGTCTTGTTGAATATTCCCGGTGCTCACAGCCAGCGTGTAAATTAGATTAGTGGGTTTTTCACTCTGCTCAACAGCTTACTCCCTTGTTTCTGCGTTTCTGTGGGATTGTCAGCATTTGCAAAGGGAACTGCCAGTGACTACAGTTTAACAGGTGTTACAAGGAAGAACTTTGCCCTGAAACTTGTTTAAAACCAGTTTAGAGTTGATTGCAGGGCTGTTGATAAGCTTTTTACGGAGTTGGAAATGCTTATCAGAGTGTTATCTAAAAATATCCTGGCAGAGAAGAAAACAAACACAGGTCTTTACGAGCCAGGTGAACTGCCTAGGACGTCTTTTATTTAAGATGTCACCATGCAAACAGGTTTTTTTATGCAGCTTTTCTTTTTCATTTACAGATACATTTATATGAAAACGAGACCTTTTTTTTTTAAGTGTCATGTGAGTTTATTTAGATTTTTTTATTTTATTGATTTTTTTTTACAGAGAGGAAGGGAGAGAGATAGAGAGCTAGAAACATCAATGAGAAAGAAACATTGACCAGCTGCCTCTTGCACACCCCCTACCGAGGATGTGCCCGCAACCAATGTACATGCCCTTGACCGGAGTCGAACCCGGGACCTTTCAGTCCGCAGACCGACGCTCTACCACTGAGCCAAACTGGCTTCGGCACAAGACCCTTTTTCTTAAGAGTTCTGCTTTTACTTTTTATTTGAATAATACTCCCTTTTTTGAAAATCTGATTCATCTCTGTAGCAACCAGTTATGACAGAAGACTTCCACCAGAGCAGTGGGCACTCAGAAAAGAGTGGGTCCAATCGTCTGTATCCTGTTTGTTCTCTTTTTGGAAGTGAAGAGCAAAAATAGATGTATTTGCTTTTTAGTACAATAGTTTTTCTAAATGTGATGACAGCACAGTGATAGATTACGCAGCATTAAATTATGCCTTAAGATAAAGCTACTGAGTTGTTGGTTCCTGTAAGTTTAAATTTTCTTTTAAAGAAAACTCTTAAAAAGGTAGGTGGTGGTGAGGAGCATGCCTCTGGAGATGGCTGCTTAGGTTCAGATCACACTCCTCCCCTCCCCCTCCAGCCTTCCCGCGGCAGGCACACCTGCCTACTCTGCCTCCGCTTCAAGTCTTAAAACCAGGTGATGGTGTGCCCTCTTCGTAGGGTTACTGTGAAAACAGTGCAGAGCCTGGCATGGTGCCTGCCATAGAGTGACTGGATTGCAGCCTGGGCATTTCCACAATTCTTCTGTTGCTTTAACAACCAGGTTTGCTCATAGGCAAGGTAAAAGCCCCTTAAAACTATTTATGCTACTTTTTTAAGTTTCAACTTATTATCATCTTTATTTGGTCACTCTAATTTCTAACAATGACTTGTGTTAAATATAATAGTTCTTCATAGAGCCCAAACCGGTTTGGCTCAGTGGTAGAGCCTAGGTCTGCAGACTGAAAGGTCTCAGGTTCCATTCCGGTCAAGGGCATGTACATTGGTTGTGGGTGGCAGCTGGTTGATGTTTCTCTCTCATCAACATTTCTAGCTCTCTATCCCTCTCTCCTCCTCTCTGTAAAAAATCAATAAAATATATATTTAAAAAAAATAGTTCTTCATAGATACACTAACACATCAGTCTTGGCTGCAAATGTTGATAAAGAAATACAATTACGTATACACAGGAAATAGCCCTTTATCTCTTAAATAAAATCGCTTTGCGATCACTTAACTTAGTAGTTGCCAATCTAGTGCCAAAAGCTCTCAGTATACTTTTAGTTATTAGAATCATTTTCGTAATTAACGCAGATTCATTAATACCGCCCTACTGTTTGTTTCTATCATTTTCTTTAATTCATAAAACATCAATACAAAGGTCCATGACCATGAGGGATTTGTGATTGTCCTCGTATGCCCAGCTGTGCCACACTCTGAGGAGGATCTGGGTGGTGCGCTCCTCGCTGAGGCCTCATTTGTCCCCTGGTCGGACCCAAGGAGACCCTCACACAGGCCAGGAGCCAAGAGTGTTCTGTGTCTCCTCTCACTGTTTGAATTAAAAGTATGTTAGTGCCTGGCTGGTATGGCTCAGTGGTTGAGCATGCACCCATGCACCAAGAGGTCAGCAGTTCAATCCCCAGTTATGCCCAGGTTGTGGGCTTAACCCCCAGTAGGAAGCAGCTGATCCATGTTGACTCTCTCCCATTGATGTTTCTTTCTTTCTTGCTCTCTCTTCCTCTCTCTCTCTCTTAAAAAAAAAAAAAAAAAAAAAAAAAAAAAAATATATATATATATATATATATATATATATATATATATCAACAAAAAAACATTAAAAAAGAAAAGAGTATGTAACCCCTCTTCCATTTTCAATTTTGGTGAGGTGAAGGCAAAGAATTGATTAGCTCTATAGCCGAATAGCCCAGGCGGAGGTCTGTGTTCTGGGCTAGATGTTGCGGTAGGAGATGTAGCTCAGCCCGGGTCCCGTGGGGAGGAAAGGCCAGAGCCTGCCTGGAAGAGAGAGGAGCAGCACGGAGGAAAGGGACCGGGAAAGACGACAGATGGCTCACCTTCATCCTGAAGCAGTTTTACCCATACCTCAGCTGCTAGGAATCATTCTGACTGTGTCCCGTTAGGCCCGTGGGTGCAGCCCAGTGTTCCCACCGCCCTTCAGCCCTTCCTGGCCATCGTCTTCACAGAACTCGCCTCTTTTCAGGATGTTTGCAGTGTCCAGATTCTCTCTCAACTGGAAACAACTTGCCAGGAAGGGCTCTCCTGAGCTGGTGTGGCCTGCGCCCTCGTCACCTCTATAGCAGAGTCCCAGTACCCCAGGAAGACTCCCTCATTCAACTCTGCAAGGACCTTTGGAGGGAGGAGCCCCCACCCTGAATGCGGAGAGGGTTAGAAAAGCGCTGCAGAGAAGTGCCGGTATTGTCAGTCTTCAGCTCAGAACACGGAGGGCCAGGCTTGGGGGTCAGAGTGTCATCACGTCAGGCGGAATGAGGCAGCGCTGCGGCTCTAAGAAGCTATCAGGGCTTTACAGCGATGGCGCTGGACAGAAAGCTGCCCTCAGGAGACCGAGCCTGCCTGTCTGAGCAATGAGCCTGCAGGGGCCATGGAAGAAGCTGCTGACCCAGCTGATCCAGGAGCTCCTACTCAATGAAAGACATTTTAAACCTTTGTCCTAGCATTTTTTTTTTTCTGTGTGGAAGTAAGATGTTTCCATATACAATTTAGGTTTAGCCCTTCATCCTCTGACCTCAGCAGTGAGAATGATTTTTCTTCATATTAATTAGAGAAAAACTGTTTTCGACTCATGTCACAGAGGGCTAACTTCTGTAATATAAGAGCTATTCTGCAAACCAGCAAGAGAAAGGTATGAGGAAGAATTCACCGGAAATACAAGTAGCTTCAATACAGTAAGAGTGTCTCAGCAAGAGAGATTAGCATTGACACTGCACTGTGCCGGTTTTCCCCAGTGGGAATGCAGAGACCTAGCAGCTGAGGAGACACCGAGCTAGTGCACGTGGGCCACTGGCTTCTTGTCTGCTTCTAGTGGAGGTTGAACTGGTGCAGCCCCTGCAGAGGCAGTCTGTCAGGCTGTCATGTGAACATAACCTCAAAATTCCAATGTTAAGAATTTAACCTAGAGATACTGCTTCATCTATGAAGCATGACATGTGTATTCTGTCATGGTTTGCAGTTGCTAAAGACTAGAAAGCCATCAGTGGTTTACTAAACAATGTATGGTACATCCCCACCCCGGAACATTACCCTGTTGTAGAAATAGGAGTTCCTTTGAACCGAAAGGGAGCATCTGTTAGGCTGTGACATGAAAAGTGCCAGGTACCAGTGTGCATGGAATGCGGACGTGTGTGAAAGGGGCTGGTCAGCAGGGATAGGGCTTCCTCGTGTGGTGAAGGCTTGTGTCATAATCTTGGAAGTCCATCACTGAAGCAATCTATCCACAGACGCCTGCCCGCTGTGCTCGTCTGTTGAGGTTGCCCACTTCTCAGAGTAATTCTGGCTGGATATCTTTGTGTTCTGTACTTGGCAATACTTTCTATTCTGACTGCATTCTCGGGTAGTCAGTTATCTGCATAGCACTCCTGGATAGTTTGAGGTATGTAGGAGATGAATCTAATTCTCATTACCAGTGTCTGTCCAGTGAGGATGCTGCATTTTGAGAAACTGGAAGTAAAACTCGGGCTTTTATCGCTTCTTCTGTTGCAGGGACAGGCGTTTGCTGCAGCCCGCCCAGGTGTGTGACATTCTGAAGGGTGTCATTCTGGTCATCTGCTTCTTCATGATGCACTATGTGGACTACTCCATGATGTACCACCTGATCAGGGGGCAGTCGGTCATCAAGCTCTACATCATCTACAACATGCTCGAGGTGAGGAGGGCCCTCGTTTCTCCCCGGCCAGCCAGCTCCTCTGCCCAGCCCCCCTGCCCAGGCGTCCTGGACAGACCGCTTTCTTGCGGGCTCCAGGGAGGGTGCTTCTGGCCCTCAGGGCTTGGCCCTTCACCTGGGGCCTTTTAAAACACAGAGTCTGACTTGTAAATCTGGGTCGAGGCCAGGGAGTGAGTCTGTCTGTCTGACGAGATGGTACTGTGCTGCTGGTCCTGGGACTCGTGGCAGGTCAAGCACGACCTGTGTGCAGGAAGGAAGAGCCACCTGCTGCCTGGGCAGGTTTGGGTCAGTGCCCCTTGAGAAGGTGAATTGTCATACCGCAGGGAAATTGGTTTTGCAAATTCATTGGAAACCCACATCTTCTTTAAGCTAGAACTTTAAAAATTAAGAAGAAAATGCATGCTATAATAGATTTACATGTGTGATTGCTTTGAATTTTTCACATCAAGCAAGTAAACATATGTTTCCAACATCTCTTAAGTACTTAACATTTTTATACAATCTTACCTCATGTTAAACTTAGAGCAGTCAGCATGTGAAAATCTTCATTTATAAAAAAAATAAATAAATAAAGTTATACAAAGCAAAAAAATGCTTTATTTATAGGCAGAATCTTAATAAGTTTTTTAAATAGAAGCTACCCTATGTTATATAATACATTTTGAGATTCAGATTGCATATTTCTGTGCTGTTTTTTAGGAACATAGTGAGGTCTGCTATGTTATACGAGGCAGGAAAGGGTTTTTCCTAACGGGCAGGCAGATGGGGATGTGGGCTGCTGGTCTTGCTCTCTCAGGCTGCACTGCCGTGGTGCCTGAGAGCTTCCCAGTTCGTCACAGACGCTGTGGCACTCGGGCCATCCTGGCTAAATAAACTCATTGACTGAGATGGTTTCCAGCCACCCCCAACTTCCTGACTCCAGGCTCCTTGCTTCCACTTGCTTTGCCTGGTGGATAGGATGCAGATGGTGGCTGTGGGACAAGTTTGTCAGCAGAGCACCATCCTGCTCCCCCTCCTCCTCCTCTCAGAAAGAAACCCTCTTGGAGTGGCTCCTCATGCCGTAGCCCCACTGGTCTCCGTTCCTGCCTTCCCTCCAGGGACTGCAGGGGACCAGGGCTTCTACCTACCCCAACTTGATGTGTGCCTCCTGAGTTACAAAGCCCTTTGCAAGGTGGTATTGCTGTCACTATAAAATGGGTCAAGAAAAAGGACCCATGAATTGCTGATCAGAATGGTCCTACTACTGTCCACTCCGTGGACTGCGGTTGGGGTGGTTTACCCCTAGCGGATCAGAAGAGTCAGGCTCCCGTGCAGAGAGAAATTGCTGCACTCCCATTTACCCTGCCCATGCTGCTGGTGGCTGAATGTCTCCAGTCCTCAGTTTCTCGTCTGTAAATTGGAGATACCAGGGAAATTGTGAGGGCTAAGGCAGTACATGGAAGGGCTTAGCAACAGTGCCGTCGTGTGGTGAGAGCTCCCTAAATGGTAGCTATCATTCCTTCACTTGGCAGATATTTAATTGACGTTTCCTGATGCCAAGCACTACCTTAAACCCAGAAGATCCAAAGCCCAGTCTTATGGGGCTTATATTCTTCAGGTGGGAGATAGACATTAAACCAGGAGGTATTAGGAAATGCTACATGCCTCAATGAACAAGACCAGGGCGATGTGTTACCGCCTGTGGGAGCCACAGGAGACAGATGTCTGGGAAAGGCCTCTCTCAGGATGTGACATTTCATGATAGATCATCTTTTTTTGATGTATTTCATTTTATCTATCATACTATATTTGTGGAGACTAGTACCTGAAAATGTCTTTAAGAAGTAAATCTGCAAATTATTCTGTAAAATAAAAGCCCAGCGACCATAACAGTGTAATGACCAGAACGACTGCTCGACCAGTCACTATGAGGTGCATTGTCCACCTCTAGGTCCCTCTCCCCTGGGGCTCGCAGTCTCCTATTGCAGGATGGTGAACAGGGAACCATGGGAAACTGAGGTAGGAGGCGGCGGCGGGGTGGGACTGAGGACTGGTGAGCAGGCGGAAGATGGCCATGATCACAGGCTAGGCCTATGGATCCTACCCACACACGATTTCATGTGCTGGGCCTCTAGTATCCAGTATAATAAATCTCAAACATTATAGCTCCTGTTGTTGGCAAATGTTAGGTATGAATAGAATGGATCAAATGATATGTTTGTCCTAAAGGATTTAAGTTTGAATCCTGAATTTGAATTCAGAGAGTTAAAGTCAGAGGAACTATGGTTTTGCTGTGTCCTCTCCCTTTGATTTCTGCCAGTATGTAGTAAGACTTTGTTCTGTTACAAACATAGCTGATTAGACAGAATCTCATTCATATAACACAAGGTTCGGAGCACTGCTGTGTCAGGGAATAAAGATGTGGCCGTGGATACTAAGTGCACAGGTTTTGCTCTTCTAGAGCTGGCCTTCCAAGTGGGGCTTTAAGTGTTTATTTTTGTATAAACGCAAAGCTCTTGTATTTGAGTTGCTTCTGATTTTTAGTAACATGTTTGAATGGAATAACAAGAAACATCTTTCAATCATTTTTTTCTTTTTAGGTAGCAGATCGTCTGTTTTCATCGTTTGGTCAAGATATATTAGATGCTCTCTATTGGACGGCAACAGAGCCCAAGGAAAGAAAAAGAGCTCACATTGGGGTGATTCCTCACTTTTTCATGGCTGTTCTCTACGTCTGTATCCTTTTGATGTATCAGACATTCCAGCAGTCGATGTGTATTCTGCATTTTATTTGGTTAGCTGTTTCTCTGATTTAAAGGTGTGTGTGTGTGTGTGTGTGTCCTGAGCATTGTGTGAAATACCTGCTTTCTTTGGAGAAATTAGTTATGAGTCATTGTACGTTAGCTTAAAGAGCCTCAGGTGTGCATGGAGAACAGAACTGCTAACAGTTCTGTTCTCCATGCAACAGGTTATGTGGAAGGCTTTTTGACTAAAAAGTATTATACATATTTTACATTTATATATATATATATATATATATATATATATATATATATATATATATCTGTGTAGCTTTCTATACTTACATGGAGTTTTTTTAGTTATCTTTCTTTAAGCCTGTGGATTCTTTGTTATAACCTGGGCTTAAAATGTATACATTTTATCTAGGTATAAAATTTGAAATAAGTTGGGAGGAATTTTGGAGGTTTTATTCTCCCCTCTCACCCCCCTTTTAAAGCATTTTTTTTTTTTTTGAGTAAAGGCTTCATTGCATATAAATAGTGTGTGCCCGTTCATATGTATTTACACACATGTGAATGCCTGCATGTTCTATGTGGAGTCAGATTCAATCACAGGAATGTGCCACATGATTTTTCCATATTCTCTGAAATCGATACTTGAAAAAATCGGATTAATACTTGGAAAGTTAAGGGATTTAAGTGTGAAGATTTCTATAGAGTAAAAACTTGTTCCAAGTATAATAGAATAAAAGTTACTGTTCTAATTTAAAGAAACCATTCCACGTGTAATATGAATATAATGCTGCAACTTATGATGTCTTCAAAAAAAGACAATGAAGAAGATTCTTAATTATCAGACAATTCTTATTGTCTTACTTGAGGCCCATTGCAGGAAGAGATTCGTGCAATAGGCCTTCCTTCCCTTGGCTTCCAGCACCGGTTTTCCTCCAGCACCCGGGACCCAGGCCTTCTCTCCGGCCAGAGTCTGCCATCTTCATCTTTGCTGCAGACTCTGGCTTGAGTCTGCCATCTTTGTCCTCGCTGCAGCACTCCACTCCTGTAGATCCCTTTGCCTTCCCCCCCGCCCCCCTCCCTCTTAAAGCAGATATCCTGCCTTGCCTGACCACTCTGTACCTGGAGCAGCTGGGGAGCCACCATGTTTGGCCTTATAATTTGCATACTGACTTTTATTGGCTGTGGGCATAGAGAAGGTACAGTCAATTTACATGTTTGTCTATTATTAGGTAAGATGTTCCTCATCCCCAGAAGAGCCAAAGATCGTGTCTAGATATTTGTTTTGTGTTTTTTCTGTTTTAGAATATAAATTATCTTAATTCAGAATGTATATTGCTAATTGTCTTCTTTCAGTATTTACCATAATTTCTATTTATCTAAGAAACTTTTTAAAGGGCCTATTTCCCAAGCATTGAGCCAAATGCCAGAGACCCAGAAAGAACAGGACTCACAGTCCACTTGAATGGTGCACCATGGTTCATTTCTGCTTTTGCTTGTTTCTTATGGTGGCGTACATTGTAATCCAGTCAAATTTGGATCATCTAATAAAAAATTACAAAGAATAAAAGACTTTTGTAATACTTGATGTGAAAACATAATCACCTTTTCCCACATTATTCACTTTGAAAATTGTATAGTAGTATCTGTTACTATAATATGAAAACAGACGTAAGATTTTTTTCCTTGACATCACTTATTGCTAGTTTTGCATGCAATTCTTATAATGGTTCAAGCAACAACTCTCAACGTAGCATTTAACTCACACAACAAGTCCTTGCTCACTATCATGATGTCTAATAATGTGAGTATGAGGTTTTATTTTACATCTCTGAAGTTAAAGGGGTAATTTAATAGCAGTTTCTAGATGGGATAAATTATTTTTTCTAAACATTATTCTTCAGGAAATTTATATATACTATGTCCATTTTTAAAAGTTATAAAGATAAGGATAATATTTTCTTTTACTATTTCAGTTTGTTGAAATTAAAGGAAGTGTTTTCAAGAAGTTTGAGAAGAACAATCTTTTTCAAATGTCAAATAGCGGTAAGTACAGTTAGACTCTAATTGCAGATTATGCATATTATTTTGTAGTTTATTCTAAAACTCTGTGTCACATTTCCTGTGTGTTATTGTTTTTTTTTACTTAAGCTGTACTTTCTCTTACTCTCTCAACATCTTTACCAAGTTTGCTTATTATTTTGCTTATTGCAATCTCAGGATCTTTACAGTGATAAGAAATTACAAACATTTATATAGCTCCTTATCAATACTTTCAAAAATTTCTCATGAATCCAGAAATTTCTTTGCAGCAGATGATATTAATCCATGTTACACACGTGAAAACTGGAAACAGGGAAAGCAATTTGATTTGGCCAAGGCCACTAAGCTACCAAGAGCAGAATTATGACAACCCAGGCCCCTCACAAATAAGGGCTAAGAGCTGTGCTATCCTGGAGAAGGTATTGTCCCTGACTGAACAGAGTTTAGGCATTTAGGGAATACACATCTGGGAAATGCCAGCTCACTTAGAGACCAAGGTTTAGTTGTAGAATGAAAGTCTAGATCACTTGCTTAGAGTAACAGGGAAGGGTGGAAATAAGAAAAGAGAAGCCAAGACAATTGACTTGGAAAGATACCAAGGTGAAATTAAAATGCAGAGGGCTATAGGGGGTCCTACCTTTGAGTGGCAAGGTGAGGCCCAGAATTATTAAGATACTAGAATATTAGGGAAACGACAGTAGGATATATACAGGCCTTAAGTAAGTGATTGCACTGGCCACCCACACCCACATGGGTGTGCCAAATTATGGCAGTCATGGATTTTTTTCATTTCTTGATTACATAGTATCTTAGACTGTAATAAGAAATTAGCTTACAAAGTGAAATGTGTAAACTAGCTCTTAGCAGGAATTTAATTATTCGCTTTTATTAAATTCATTCAGACTAAGATGAGAGTGCTTAGTAACATGATAAATATGAAACCTTGTTGTTCCCCCTCCTCCATAAGTTCTACGTATGTCTTCAGAAATGCTTTCATAATACTAACACTCTATTAGCTAAAGGATTTGTCAGGTCAGCACTTGTATACTCACTATTTACAAATTGGAAGTATTCTGCTGTACAAGGATTTCACATTACCCAGCCCTGTACCTCACTCTCTGCTTCTATTTTTTAATTCTCTTCTATAAAATGAAAATAGTTTTAAGTCCCTATAGTCATTGGGGGATTCTGAATCAATCTGAGCAGACTAATGGTTTGAATATTTTTTGAAGTTTGTAGAAAACTGGAATTTGCTTGCTAGAATTATGTTGGTGAAAGAAGTAAATGGCTTACCAATGTAGCAACATCTACACTAATAGAAGAGAAATACGCAAATTGACCATACCTTCATGGCACCCACCATCCAATCATTAGTGAGTATGCAAATTAACCCAACAAAGATGGTGGGTTAATTTGCATACCAAGCAGCTGGGGGTGGGACAGGACACAGGCGTTTTGCACTGTCTCAGCCGCTGTGGGCCTCTGGACAGGGTGGAAAGGTGGAAAGGTGGCTCCAGGCTAGAGTAAAGGTAGAAAGGTGGCTCTGGACTGGAGCAAACACAGTGCCAGCAGCCAGGGGATTCTTACACGAATCTTCTTGCATCGGGCCTCTAGTTCTGTATATAAAATAATATGTTTATTGTACAGGCACCTACACATAACATAGTTTCATGTTCTCACTAAAAGAAATAATTTTATACATACACTTTTATTATTATATGATTTATATGCAATATAGCTATATTTATATGTGAAAATTTTTTTCAGATATTAAAGAGCGATTCACAAATTATGTGCTCTTGCTAATAGTGTGTCTAAGGAACATGGAACAGTTTTCTTGGAATCCAGGTAAGTAACTTTTCACAAATACATGGCTTCTGATATTACTCTTTTACATGGAATAACATGTGTACGCAGAAAACTTTGCAGCATTTTAGCTGATCACTCTGGGTCTGAGCAGTCCCTGTCTTAGTAAAGGATTGGTGGGTGGGAGACGTAGCATGTACAGTAGTCCTTGCCCCTAAAGGCACAGTGTCTCCAGGGCTGTGTTCTTGGTGGGTGGTAGGCCCTGCAGCTTCCAGGTGAGCCGTGGTTATCCAAATGCAGTCAGATTTTTAAGGCTTCACCAGAAGAGCTGCTGCTCTTTCCTAACTTTTGTCTTTGGTTTACTGCCTATTAGCGTCTTGAATAATGATAAATTAAAGAAATACAGTGTAAAGCAATAAAGTGTTACATTTATGCAGCTCTAACTGAGGCTGACAAGTTATCAGGATTCCATGAATTTTCACCATCCGTGCAGTTGGTAGACGCTCACTGCCTGTCTGCTGCGTGGCACATGTGAAAAGTGGTAGCACAGGTTAGGACTCACAGGCTTACAGAAGCAGTAGACAGGCAGTTACAGCACCGTCTGGCAATGCTGCAGTGAGCTTGGTGGGCAATGATCCACATTTTTAGGTGTCTCAAGTAACTTAGTGCTTTCTTATGTCAGACACTTTTGTACAACTTTGTTCTTAAGAAGTGAGATCATGCTTTACATTTTATTTATTACCTGAGTGCCATGGATGTTATAGGCATTTAATAACTTCTTATTAATTTATTTTGATTCATTGCTAATTTTCAGGTACCTATGAAAAATCAGAAACAGAGATAAAATGAGATCTATGTCCAGAAGTTATTTTCTTGTTGAAATCATAAAATCAGGTCCCCGATTCCCCCAACCTCAACCTGATGTCAGACTCACTAAGACTGCTCTGCACTGCACGTCAGCAAGGGGAGCCCCAGCGCCAGTGTCTCCACCCCTCACTGCAGCTGCCTGGGTCCGCAGTTGCTTGTCAGTGTCTCTAACTTTCTTCTTGCCCAGTCCCATCCTTATACCCTTCTTCGAGGTCTTAGGGGTTTATCTGTTTGCAGTTTTGTTTTGCTTTTATCAAGTACTTTGTACTAAATTGACATTTTTATACATGTGAAGGTGAGCAAAGTGGACAAATTACATCTGCATGACAGTTAAATAGATGATTGAGCAGTATCTTTAATCACAATGATCAGAGAGAGCAAATTGTTCAGTTGACTTCAGCACATGTCCCTACTGGCTGTTTACTGTCCCCAGAGGCAGCTCTGGAATCAGGGCTTTGTAATGAGCCTGCTTACTGAGCCACCCACCCGTGGTCCTGCTGGCTCCAGGCAGGGAGGCCGAGGCTCTGTCACACCGGATCCTCCCAGAAGTGCTTGGCACAGGGAAAGTGCAGAATAAACATCTGTAAATGAGTTAGCCCTTCACTTGGTAAAATATGGCTCCTTTGATAATTTATTGAATGCTAGTTCTGTCTCTTACTATCATTTATTGAAAACATTGCAGTTTTGCACAGTGAATTTTGGATTTCTGTGATAGCCTGTGATATTGGATTCTATTTGTATTAAGTAGTTTGTCTTTTTTTCCCTATACTTTATAGATCATCTCTGGGTGTTATTTCCAGATGTCTGTATGGTGATTGCATCAGAAATTGCTGTGGATATTGTAAAACATGCCTTTATCACTAAGTTCAACGACATTACCGCAGATGTATGTATTTTCCTAAGCAATTTAGTGTTTGATGTTCACTTCTACTTAATATTATACAGTTGTAAAAGAATAAGTTTAGATTTATTGCATAGAAGAGTACTGCTACTGTAAAGTTAGAATTATATTTTAAGTTTTTAAAGATTATTACACAACTGAAACATAATGTTTCGGTATTAAATAATTCTGGTTCCACACTTTTGGGAGAAGGTGTGAGTTGACTAGTAATTGAGATCAAAATCATCATAAACTGTTAATCTGTCATCATCACCTGTTTACTTAAACTTTTAAAAATCACATTGTTTTTATTAAAACATTAGGCTTTCAAAACTCAATTTTATATCTTACTCAGCATCTATTTTCTAAGAAGTCAGCATCATTATAATTAGGTATATGGTAATATTAATTTTTAAACTGTTTATTTAAAATTTCCAAATTATAGCCGAAACCGGTTTGGCTCAGTGGTAGAGCGTCGGTCTGCGGACTGAAAGGTCCCAGGTTCGATTCCGGTCAAGGGCATGTACATTGGTTGCGGGCACATCTCCAGTAGGGGGTGTGCAAGAGGCAGCTGGTCAATGTTTCTCTCTCATCCACGTTTCTAGCTCTCTATCCCTCTCTTCTCCTCTCTGTAAAAAACCAATAAAATATATTTAAAAAAATAAAATAAAATAAAATAAAATTTCCAAATTATTATATATGTTACACTATTTAAAATAGCCACTATTTGCCGAAACCAGTTTGGCTCAGTGGTAGAGCGTCGGTCTGTGGACTGAAAGGTCCCAGGTTCGATTCCAGTTAGGAGCATGTACATTGGTTGCGGGCACATCCCCGGTAGGAGGTGTGCAAGAGGCAGCTGGTCGATGTTTCTCTCATCAACGTTTCTAGCTCTCTATCTCTCTCCCTTCCTTCTCTCTGTAAAATATCAATAAAATATATTAAAAAAATAATAATAAATAAATAAATAAGCCACTATTCCCAAAACTCTAAACTATAATAATTGAGTATTTACCTCTCCTTTTTTTAAAAAAAAAAATTAATTCTCACCCAAGGATATTCTTTCTTCATTGATTTTAGAGAGAGAGGAAGGAACAGAGAGAAAAGGGACAAATATCAATATGAGAGAGAAACATTGATCAGTTGCCTTCTGAATATGCCCCGACCGGGCAGTGAGCCTGCAGCCCACTGATGACACTCCAACCAACTGAGCCACCCAGCCCAGTGTTAGTGTTTATCTCTCTCAAGAGAAGTCTTTAAAAGGTTTGTGACCATAACAGTTGGGGGACGTGAAGCTGTTTACTCTTGTTGTAGGAAAACAAATAGAGAAACACTAGCCAGATGTCTGCTTGGCTACTAAGACCTTTTTACTGGTTAATTATTAAACATATTAATCTGCAAAGTATAAGTCTTCCCACTTTAGATATTTACACTATATTACTTAATATTGTAATCTTATTTGTTTTTAGGTCTACAGTGAATATAGAGCCAGCCTTGCCTTTGACCTTGTTAGTAGTCGACAGAAAAATGTGAGTATTATATCAAAGACAGAATCTGAAATTAACTGACAGTGGTTTAATTTAGCTCGAAATATGGTAAAGAGAATGCTACATCAACTTAAACTTATTTCTGTTCTTGACAATAAATTTTTACAAATTAATAAAAATAATACTAATACTTAACATAAACATAGTATGATTTTTGCAGCTTTATAACAGTAATACAACTTTGTATTTAAAACTTCTTATGAACGTTTAAATTTCCATATTATTTTGCTAACTTACATAATAGGTGCCAGGTGCCTCGTAACCTCACCTGTTTAGAGAATGTGCTGGTGATGAGCGAATAGTACTTTATACACATGCTTTAAGTCCCATGAACCCTTCTCCTTCTCTGTCTAGGCGTACACTGACTACAGCGACTCTGTGGCGCGGAGAATGGGGTTCATTCCTCTCCCACTAGCTGTTTTAGTAAGTGTGTACTTTCGTATTTTTTTTTAAATGATGCAGTGACTATCATTATAGAATATTAATCAGATTTTCAATAACTTTGTTTCAAAAGGATGATATAAAAATGAAAGGTAAATGACTTAGAAGAAATTTGTTATCCTTTTGGCATCTGAGTCATCCAATAGATAAGTGATATCAGGAACTGTTTTTACAAAATGGCTTTTCTAACAATGAGAATACTCTTGCTATTCATTTGGCAAAGTTTTTTTATGAAAATACTTGGTGGAAGGGGTGGGTATGGCAAGTGTAACATATGTTGGATGAAGTGTAAGTTGGTCTAGCATCTCGAAAGGGGCAATTTGACAATTTAATGGAGTAATTCCAGTTCTAGGAATTTATTCTAAGGAAATAGCTGTAAAAGGCACATAATGATTTATAGGCAAAGTTACACATTATAGTGGCATTTATAGCAAAAACTTGGAAACAAATGAAGTAGATTAAATTATGAAATGTTCAAATGGAGCACATTCTGTATTCATTTTCTGAAGTTTTAACAATGAAATTTTCTAGTCTTATCTTCAGGAATTATATGTATTTTAAATAATAGCACTGAAATTTACTGAACCCACTAAAAATATCATCAAGTTTATATCTGAATGAATTGCTCAGGACAGCCTTGTAAACAGTTACTGGCCTTGTCAGGCTCCATAATGTTTGTTAAGAAGGCTGGCTGGCTTCATTATATTCTTTATTGGCTACCTGTTCTCACATCTAAACAAAGGCAGCCAACTTTTTGCTAGAGGTCACCTGGAGTTCTTGCTTAATGCAGAGTCACGGAGTCACCTAACAGGTGGAGAGAGAAGCTGTAGGTCTTACCAGCTGTATGTTACACAAGCTTGTCTGGTTGATGATCAATAGAGTTCATGTTATTTAAATTTCAGTACAACTCTCCAGATAACCACATCCTAAATGTTTTTAATTATCTAGGTAGTTTATTGTATAGTAATATAGTTTTTTGTGTTTTTTTTTTTGCTTGGGAAATGAACTCCTAGAATTTTAGAAAATGGAGGATTCTAAAGAGTAAAATAATTATTTGTTAAACATTTAAGAGGTTGATAAAATAGAATATTGAATTTCTCTACACTTGTCTTCTACAATTAGAAACATGATATACAGTGTGAGGATAAACCTAGTTAGCCAGACTAATTATTATCTGACTGATTATATTATTATTAAAGATTGGTTAGATGATTATATTTGAATATGGCTCTGCTTTGCTAAATAATAACTATCTAGTAACTTATTACCAAAAAACTCTATTCATGATTATTATGGGTTTTTTAATTTGGTATTTAAAGGTTTGTTTTTTTTTTTTTTTCTTTAAATGAGTTTCTATGAATGTTATACCAAAAGATTTAAGCTTACTGAATAGTTAACTAACGCTACTGGAAAGCCTGCGTTTTTGCAGCAGGTTATGCAGTGATCCAGTGGGCAGGGTTTGCAGGCTTCTCTCACAGACCTCCAGTTTAAGAGCTCTGAGGAACCTACCGAGGCCTTGGGAATCAGTTCTTTAAGGCCCAAGAGAGGCAATGCTTACTTACAAACTTATTAACATAGGTTCTCAAGTGAATTTATACCCCAAAAAAGTAAATCATGTATGAAAGTCTCATGGAAATGAAGCTTTGAATAAATGTATCTTTTAAAAAAAATATATATATTTTATTGATTTCTTACAGAGAGGAAGGGAGAGAGATAGAGAGCTAGAAACTTCGATGGGAGAGAAACATCAAACCAGCTGCCTCCTGCACACCCCCTACCCAGGATGTGCCCGCAACCGATGTACATGCCTTTGACTGGAATCGAACCTGGGACCCTTCAGTCCGCAGACCGATGCTCTACCACTGAGCCAAACCGGTTTCGGCTGAATAAATGTATCTTAAAGTTGCCTGCTATTCTACACTAATAAAAGAGAAAGATGCAAATTGACCATACCTTTGCACACCCACCAGCCAATCAGGAGTGAGTATGCAAATTAACCCAAGAAAGATGGCAGGTTAATTTGCATACACAGGAGCTGAGAGGCCAGACGCAGAGCAGAGTGCCTGTGTCGTTGACATTACGATGATACAGGCATTCCACACTGCCCCAGCTGCTCCGGGCCTCTGGGCAGCGTGGGAAGGTGGAAAGGTGGCTCTGGGCTGGAGCAAGGCAGAAAGGCGGCTCCAGTCCAAGTGAAGGCAGTGCCAGCAGCCGGGAAGGAAGGCCCATTCTTGCATGAATCTTTGTGCATCGGGCCTCTAGTATACTAAATAAAAATGAAGTCCTTTAAACCTTGAATGTGATCATTGGCAAACCTTTCTTATAAAATAATAAAATCCTAGAGCCACATTAGCTTCCATCACAGCTGTTTGGACAGCAGGTTGTTCCTCATGAGAGGAAGTGATGAGGATTTCTTTGTCACTTTCTCATAACAAAACTTTATAGAACATGTGACAGTCCATCCCTCTGTGTCCTCCCAATTGTTCTTTTATTGGTGGTATTTTAAAGATACATTTAAAATGTATTTTATGATGTTTATTTAAGGCACCCTAATAAACTCTTTTAGATGGTAATAACTTACCATTACTAGATAAAGTCTATTGTTCTCCCTGACTTCCCATTTCCATGTAGCAGTCCCCCCAGGCCCTAGTATAGTCTCCTTGCTATCTGAACATAGAGTGTTTCTATGAAACCTCTCAGGCCTAAATAGCGTAAACCAAAGAAGCAGCTGACATTAATTTATGTGTTTATTTTGTTCACCATGATGATCAAAATGCTTAATTATGTCCACTTCTACACTTAATGTAAACTCCCTTCTGAGCTCCTCTGCTACTAAGGACACATCTTGCTAAGGGATACACAAAGTGAAGATAGAGCCCAGATGCTCCCAGACACTGGGTTCCGCTGTGGTGGCCCAATGCTGAGATGCTGATGTGGCTCCCTGGGAGCTTGGTGGCCACTCTTGCTGCTCAGGGTGTGAGCTGCGCCTGTGTCAGCTCCCTGCACATCAAATGCTTTTTACAGTAAAAGCAAAAATTACCTTTGGATTTCTTCCGGTTAGTGAAAACAAGTACCAACGTGGTCCTTTTGAAAAGCGGAGATTGCCTGTATACGGGCACATTTTCTGCCAAAGCTATAGTAACTGAGTGTTTTGCAGTGACGGACCCCACCACATTTGCTCAGCAGGCTTCCCAGGACCAAGATTTACTGCTTTATCTCTGTGAGATAAAAAAGAAAATGGGTGTTTAACCACAACTATCCAAAAATATAATTTTGAATAGCTTAAAGAAAATTTTCAGACAAATTTTTCAAACTTTACATAACTGATTTCACAGCAGTATTTAGTTCTTTTAAAAAAGGTTCCTTTTTTCTCTAACTGATCCCTCAGAGTCATTGAGGATTCTTAAAAAGAGTCAGAGGACAAAAGACAAAAAAAGCAAGAAAAATGGAAATGTCCTTGCAATGGATCTAGCTAGCTGTAGCAGGGACACATACAGCATGATGAATCTATTTGTATTTTCTAGAATAATTTTTCATATTAAAAATCACCCGATTTGCTTCTTTATTAGGGCCAGGCAAACGTGTCATTTAAGAATTAGGTGCAGTGTCAGCATTTGGCATTAGCTACGGGCATCCCAGATTTGCCTGAACCACCTAAATCTACCACAAAAGGTTTCACAAGCTGCCAGTTTGTTAGAAATCGACAGACTTAGAACGCCTGTTTGGATTTAGATAGCCCACAGGTGTGTGCCTAAAGTGTTAAAATCAGTATAGATGACTTTATTTAAATATGAACTAATAACTCTATGGTTGTGTGTTTTGTTTGTGTGTTTTTGTTGTTTTGGTCTGTTTCTGGCTAGCTCATCAGAGTTGTAACAAGCTCAATTAAAGTTCAAGGAATCCTGTCTTATGCCTGTGTCATACTCTTCTATTTTGGGTAAGATAAACTATTCTTGAATATGTTTTTGGTTACACAGTAAAGCATAAATGCAAGATATAATCAAGTCATACTACACCCATTCTAACTGTCCTGGGCCCCATAACAGCTTGTACCTCCAATATGTTTGTGACTCAGTTAAGCTCTGGTTCAATTAAATCGCTGTTTGCTAGTAGAATTAATTGCACTTTAGATTTTATTTTAATCATTTACTTAAAGCTCTTTTTACTTACAAGTGAAGTTTTACCTGTATTTTATAAAATGAAATCTGCCATTGCATTCAGACATTCCTCTATGTACAAAAACCTCTTTGAATTTCTATTGTATTTGCCACTTGAATGGTTTAGCACAGTGGTCGGCAAACTGCGGCTCGCGAACCACATGTGGCTCTTTAGCCCCTTGAGTGTGGCTCTTCCACAAAATACCACATGCAGACACACACGTACAGTGCGATTGAAACTTCGTGGCCCATACACAAAAGTCGGTTTTCAGCTCTCAAAAGAAATTTCTATCGTACTGTTGATATTTGGCTCTATAGACTAATGAGTTTGCCAACCACTGGTTTAGCATACTCGAGGCCTATGTCATAGAAACCTACAGAAGATGCAGAAATGTAGTTTTCTGCCTGTGACTGGCTGAATTTTTATTTGCAAATTTGTTGGTCTTGCATGGCTTACACTCTGGTTGGGGAAGAAAAATGGTAAGAAAATAACAATATGAACAGAAGTTTTTGTCTCTGTTTTCTCAAGAAGTGAATTTATGATAGCAGCCCAGCTTTAGGTTTACGTATCCAGAAGGAGAAAGGGACCCTGCACTGGCTTCAGTGGAGCACGAGGAGTTATGCTGCGGATGTCCGTCTGGGAGACAGTCAGAACTGAGCATCTCCAGGAGGAAAGGGAGAGACCAAGCAGGACAGTAGTAACCTCAGCCCTAGATTTGCTCAGAAGCATCCCCTGGGCTGAGGTCTGCTTCCCAACCGGAACTGTTTTGTTTCTCACGTGTGTCTCCTACCTTGTCCCTGCCCGGTGCCTGGCACATGGCAGGTGCCCGGAAGCTCCTGCTGCTGGAGCATAGCATCTGTCACTTGTCATCGTCTCAGGAGCATCATGAGTCAGGAACATGCTTCCAGATTCTTCTCACTGAGCTTTGGGCAGCTCGTGGCCCTGCCTTCATGGGTCCTCTGCTCAGCGCTCCCCAATGAGTACTGGTCTAGGGACCAACCGAAAAGAACACGACCTGCTTTTGTGTCCTAAGCTCCAGAGGGAAAGTAGGCAACTACCAGAAAGACAGCTTGCTGTGAAGTGACTTGGTGGCAAGCGTCAGGAAGAAAAGCATGGCAGTGCGTGGACGGAGAGCCACAGAGGAGGCTGCCCTGGAGAGAGAGCCGGGCCTCTCTGTCAGGCAGATGGAGTAAGGGAAAGGCCAGGCAGGCTCAAACAGGGCACACAGTGCAGGCCTGATGCCAGGAGCACACGGGAGAGGACGCGGCAGCCCTGGCAGGGCCCGAGCCTCAGCTCCACGGGCGGGAGAGCCCCTGGCAGGTCCTGTGCGGAAGAAAGCGCCACTTCCCTTGGCTTCTTGCCAGGACCACCCGGCTGCTGGGTAGGGAGGGAATGGAAGGGGAGAGAGGAGAATCAAAAGCCGGCTGGGTCAGGAGGTACTGTTACTGTCTTTTCTGGCCCGTGGCTGTAGCTGGAATTGAGGGGGATTTGTCAGCTAAGGGCATATTTTGCAAGTGGAGCTGGACAGGACTGGTGGAGGGATTGATGGGAGGGGGATGAAAAGAATCAAATGTGAGTACAGAGTTCGGAGCCAAGCAGTTAGGGCTATGGAATTGCCACCTACTGTGATGGGGAAGCCTGTGACATAAATATATGTGGGTTCGTTTTGTTTTGTTTTTGGAGGGTTAGGGCTGGAATCAAGAGTTCTGGGTTCGGATCTCATAAGTTAGACATCCCCAGGCAGCTGGCCAAGGAGCTCTGAGGTGCGAGGTGGGAGCATTCTCTCCTGGTGTAGAGTCCACAGGGGGTGCCAGGCCCCGCCTCACACTCCCCCCCCCCCCCCCCCCCAGGCCTGTGACCTCCTGTCATTGCCAGGTTTCATCTCAGATGTCAGAAACAGCGGCCACTTCCTCACCCCCTTCACAGGGCAGTGAGGTCCTGGGTGCTGGGCCAGTTAAGGCCCTGTACATGAGGAGATTCCAATAGGAAGAGGGGGGTTTTTGTGTATGTTTTTTTTTTTTCCCCAGATTTTTTTTTTCCCAGATTTGTATCAAGTACCTGAAAATGTTATATACCTTTGATATAGAAATCTGACTTCTGTAGTTATAGCTGTCTAGGAATTTATTTTGAGGAAATACAGATTTAATGTAAGTTTTCTTAATTGGGAACTTTTTAATAGAAGAAAAATACTTAAAATAATCTAAATATCCAGAAACTAGGGGCTATGAGGGGGCTTTGTTCTATGATAACCCACACAGCACAATAACCAGGCCTGTTAAAATAGTGTCCCTGAGGAACATTAACCGATAGGGGGAAATAGTCATCATGTGCTGTTTATGTAAAACAGCAATGATGATAATGAAATAACAGGATCGTTGACGTTTCTGCGTGCCTGGTGCCGCTCTGAGCACCTCATCCAAGTCAGCTTCTCTGGACTGAGGGTTCACACAGCTTCTAGGCAGTGGAGTCAGGTGTGAACTCAAACTCTTGGACCCCAGCTCTGTGCTCTGACTTCACACTCCAGCCCCTCCTGCTTCATAGCCCCATGTCACACAGCGAAAAGTACATACCGATGTGTACGCACCGCAGCATGGGGAAAGGGATGCGTCAGGTGTCCCGGGGTCAACGCCAGAGCCTGGAGCTATGTTATTATATATATATCTGTAGCTACTAAATGCATTTGTTTTGTAGTAAGAGAAAAAAATTAAATCATTTGGAAGGTGAATATAGGAAGAAAATAAGTGTTAGTCAGAAGGTATAACTTTTAAGTGTTATGACTTCTTACATGAGAAGTAGGCATTTATCCTAGGTTCCCCCGTGACAAGGAAACCTGGGCATGGCGCTAGGCTTTCGTTGTGGGATGTCTCAGACTCGGGCCTCCACTCCCAGATCCTCTGTTCACCTGGTGGTGGGTGGCATGCCTCATGATTGAGATGAGTTCCAACAGTGGTCGTTTGTCTTTCTCTGCGTTTAGGTTGATATCCCTGAAAGTACTGAATAGCATTGTGCTGCTGGGGAAGTCATGCCAATACGTGAAGGAGGCCAAAATGGAAGAGAAGCTGTTTGACCCTCCCCCAGCCAGCACTCCCGGAAAACCGTCCAGCAAACCACAGAGCAAGAGCAAACCCTCCCAAGGTAGGCGGGGCCTTCTCTGCATCGTCTTCAGGAGAGTTACTGTCTTCTCTCTCCCTGTAGCAAATCACTGCCCTCCAGGTGCAGCAGTGCTTTCAGGGTCTGACTTCATTTTAATAGTTGTTATTGCTAACGTTTCTCTTTAGATCTCATCACAGATGCACCCCATGCAGTGCTCTGAGTTTTTACATTCAGTAGATTATCAGTGAGCACCTGTTACTCGGGTTAGCAAACAGAAATGGTGTGGCCTCTGTATTCTGTTATACATTACTAGTGACCTGGTGCATGGATTCGTGTACATTGAAAGGAAATTAATTAGAAGGCAGCCAGTTGGGCAGGACTGCGCAAGATGGGCCAGACACGCCCTGTGGCCAACCTCCCAAGGTCCTTTCCTGGTGTCTGCAGAGTGAGTGGGATCACTCGAGCAGGTGGGGTGGGGTCCCTCAGCCTAGGCTGCAGGGTCCCTTAGCCTGGCCTACAAGTTTGGGCCAAAACCAACTCTCTGACATCCCCTGAGGGGTCCCAGAGTGTGAGAGGGCACTCTGCAAAGTTGCTGTCCTACAGGTTGTGGAACGCAAATGCAAGTGTGCAATAAACTAGATTTGGGCCGACAGTGCCCCAGCAACAACATAACCCACGGCCGAAGGTAGAATCGCTTGGCTCCATGAGGAATCGGGCTCCCTCCTCTCTGGTTTTGGGGTGTGTCACCTGAGAACTGCCGCTGCCAAGTCACTGCAGCTTGGCAGTTCCTGCATTGAACATCTGCCCTTTGATGGTCAGTGCATATCGTAATGACTGGTCGGAGGGACACTTAGCATATTATATATATTTTATATATATAGATGGCTGCTTCTGCAATGTGCTGTTTGGTTATCATTGCACTTTTGTACAGTACTACGATATTGGTAAGCTCATCTGTAGTAAACATTTGGAGGAAATCCTCTTCTAACTAAAGGCCCTGTTTTTCCACAGAAGAAACCCTGTCCGCCTCTGTCACCAGCCAGCCTAGCCATCAGAAGGAAAATGTCATACCATTACTCGTGACAAGCAATTCCGACCAGTTCCTAACAACCCCAGACGGGGAAGAGAAGGACATAACGCAGGAAAACTCTGAACTGAAGCACAGATCTGCAAAGAAAGATTTGTTGGACATAGACAGGTTCACAATTTGCGGAAACCGAATTGACTGAACTCTGCGGCTCCCTGTGCCCAGCGCCGAGGCCTGGGGCAGCCACGGTGCCGCCGGGGCGGACAGGTGCAAAACGTGGCACTTAATATATTTATTTAAAACTTAAATTATTAACAGAAAGCAAATCTGAGCAGCTTTCTTCCAGTCATGTGGCCTGGTTGAAGGTCAGGTCACAGAACAGCAGTGACCTCCAGCCTGGATAGCGGTGGAAACCCCTCTTCCCCCGAGAAGCAGCCGTCCCTCCAGCCTGATGGGGACAGCCTCGGATCACTTCAGCTCGGCCCGTCTGTGCTTCCAGAACATCGGCTCTGACCTCCGGCCTCTGCAGTGGAAGGGATCTACCTGGGAAACGGAAGCTTTCCCCAAGACGTGACCTGCCCCGCCCCACCCTAGTTCCACAGACAATTTCAAACTGCTTCATCTGCCAAAGCATTTAGAAAAGTAATTACACTTAAGTCGAGGCGAATATTCTCACCACAGAATAATCCTGGAAGATGTATCTGAATTAATCAGAATAAAAGGCTACCTTAAATAAGACATGATGAAGAGTAGCCATTTTGCCTATTTAAAAAATATTAACTAATGAAGGTTATGCATCACTGAGACTATGTTTTATAATTTTTTCAGTTTACTCTTTAAAGCGAAATGTGAGCCGTGTATTGTTTAATTGCAGTGGGTGAAATAGAAATTATCTTACAAAGATGTACTTTTTATACTGAAAAAGGCAGAGCAGGGGTAACTTTACTGTACAGATAACTGGTTTCACTTTAAAACTAATTGCTTCATCAATTGTTACAGATAAAAGGATTTGGTGTTGAATCGGCTAAAGAACTGGACAAAATTCAAAGGTGTCAACCCGTAACTGAGATCTTTAAGTAACAGTTTCAAAGGAAATAAGTGGATTGACAGCCGTCCTGCTCCGGCTTATCACGTGCATTAGCCTTTCTGTCTGCAGTGCTTGCGCCGGGGGCTGGGGCTGGTCTGTGTCCTGTGGGAGCGCCCGAGGGGGATGGCACTGCCCGGTGCGCCTGCACGGGGGAGGAAGCCAGTGGGGTGTGGGTGGCTGACTGGGTGTGGGGACGAGTCTGTGTGTAGATGTTAGGAACAGCAACCAAGAGGTGCTTTTTGGTTGTTTGAGATAAAGAGTCCATTTCTACTTACCTATCAGTTTGTGGCCGGCCTCATAGGACAAGCTGTTTTCCACCACATTTTAGCTTGAGAAACCTTCCTGCATCTTTATAAGAATTCTGCAACCTCTAATTTCAGCGTCCAAATGTCACTGTTCCTTCCTCTGACCTTTTCATTCTGAAGTTGTGCTCCTGTGCTGCTATTTCAGGCACACGATGTGCGGAGGTAAATTTGAGGGGGTTTGTCTGGTTCCCGGGTGAGACGTAAAGCTAGCTTGAATGCTTTGGCTTTTCATTTGACATACAAGTGAATTTTAATGTTTTGCCTTAAGTGAAGAAATCTAAAGGTTAATGTTCATGTGGGATAAAGGGAAACTGTACAGAAATGCTTTTGTGAGGCCGCAAAGTACTTCATGTTAAAAATGAAAAGACTTTTAAGTTGCTTTCTGTGTGTTTCAATGAAGCACCATTTTAAAATTACTTTTTGTTCTCCTCTTCTCCTCTCCACCAAAAAGAATAATGTCCACAATGAATAGGAATAGTTTGGGGGGAAACTTTGCCAAACAGAGCCCTAATCAGAGCAAGAATATGACAGAGGTGTATCTTTCACTTTAGCTCGAATTTTTCTGTTACTGTGCTGTCAATTCCGCCAGATTCTAATTTCCTATGCAGGATATGTTGAGAGTTCAGAATGATGTTCATTTCTTCTTCAGTCAAAGTGGCATTCAGTACTAATTTTATAAGTGCATCTTGTGTGAAACTCAATAAATTCAATTTTGTAATCTTTTTTAAAAAGGTCACTGAATTTATTTTCATGATGTTTACTGTTATATTTGGTAGAGTAAATTTCTAATTTACAAGTGGCTGGACTATCTAATTTGAATTATTCTTTTGGTCATAATGGTGGCAAAATGTTTGAATCTTGTCTTTAGGAAACAAAAGGCTAAGTCTTGATTATAGACCATTTAATATCTGTCAGTACATGAAAGGACCTGCATTTTACAAGTGTTTTGAATGTCACACAATATGCTTTTCACATCTGGGAGTTAAGTTCAAGACAGGACTTTGGGTCGGCCGACAACCTATGAACCAGGAGGTTATGGTTCGATTCCCAAGACACATGCCCAGGTTACTGCCTCGATTCCAGAATCTGGTGTCTGGCCCAGTAGGGGGCGTGCAGGAGGCAGCCTATCAATGATTATTTCTCATCATTGATGTTTCTATCTCTCCCTCACCCTTCCTCTCTGAAATCAATAAAATATATATATTTTTTTAAAATACAGTATTTTGGTTTTTAAAATAATCTCAGCCACAACATAGGTCAGACTCTTACTAGCTTTCCTTTGGAGTTGAAATGTAACATAGGGTCATTCAGGAGCTTGTCCAGATCTCCTTGGTACTTGGTACTTTGTATCTTGTCTAGCATGCGGATGTTGTACTCCTTACACATGGAAGAACCTTGTTATCATTAGATCCTCAAAAACGTCCCTTCTGCTCTCTTTCGGTGACTCAGCAGAGCACACACATCACAAAATAATCTAAAATCACTGCATTGTGAAATGTCTCAGCTTTATTTTTTCTTTCAGTGGAGATTTGTTAGTCGCCTGTGTGTCAGGACTATTGAATGCTGTGATCAGCAGCGGACAAAACCCCTGCCCTCCTGGGGGAGGCCTGTAGCAAACGCGTCAGTGAACTAGTGCGCTGGAGACAGCTGAGCCCAGGTCATCTCCGAGTGACTTCATTCTGAAGTAAATCCAGCTGTCTGACGTTTTCATGTAAGTTAAGTCTTATTTTTTTTTCTATTGAATTTACTTAAAATAAGATAGTTGAATAGCAGTTTCAAGTGCCTCTATAAAGTATACAAAGAAAGAAGAAAATGCTCCTTTACTGAAGACCCTTGTTATCCATACAGACAGGGTGCTAGCTGGGAACCGAGCTGTCCAACTGGGAACTGCTTTCCCGAGCCCGTCCTGCTATTCCACGTGGCCAACGGACTGATCCTCATGGAGGGGTGGAGGTTGAAGGGGTATATGCCATGCCATTTCAGGTGCCTTTCCCCTTCTCTCCGCTTCCCACCAGCTGGAACCCAGAGGCGTGCCCCCGGCCAGCCATGCAGACAAATATTTGGCGCTCTCAGCACCCACGGAAGGAGCCAGGGTCCAGGGAAGCCTCGCCTTCGTTTCCAAGCCACGGAGTGTGGAGGGGGCTGTTACAGCCCACACCCCTTACGCCAAGGACTGAAAGAGCCCAGTGAGATATCTTCACATAGAAGGAGTGAGGTTTAGACCCTACTCTCTGAAACATGTGCTTCTGAAATACTCTGGGATTCATGTTTACTATTGTTTTTAGGGGAAAAGATAAAGATGACCATGTGGTTAGCTCCCGGCACCCTGGTCCGTCTTGAACAGTGAGCATGCTCATCAGTGGCACAGTCCTCTTTGATCGGATGCTCTGCCGAACAGCCATGCCTGCCCCTTCTTCCTCAGGAAAGTGGTGTGCATATCACAGAGCAGATGAGTGTAGCCCGCCAGCACAGAGACGTGGAGGCTAACAGACTTCAGATGTCCAAAGGGTAGTAGGACTTTCTCCTCATATGGTACACGTCTGAGTGCCTGGCAAGTGCTAACCCTCGTGCTGAGAACACTTGAAGGGATAGCTTTGTTCCTGGGAAATTGGAGGAGAAGGCAGGGGCCAGACCTTGGAAAGCTTTTATTTTTATTTATTTTTTAAAATATATTTTATTGATTTTTTTTTTTACAGAGAGGAAGGGAGAGAGATAGAAACATCGGTGAGAGAGAAACATCAATCAGTTGCCTCCTGCACATCCCCTACTGGGAATGTGCCCACAACCAAAGTACATGCCCTTGATCAGAATCAAACCTGGGTCCCCTCAGTCCGCAGGCCAACGCTCTGTCCATTGAGCCAAACCAGCCAGGGCTTGGAGAGCTTTTAATGCCTTAGCAAGAATCCTGAGCTCGATCCCATAGGCAATGGGGGAGTGTTAATTGGAATCTGAAGTTGGATTGCAGTAGCTACCAAACAAGAGGATAAATGGGGAAAACGACTGTGTAAATTATAAAGCGTTTACACGCTTTACGCCTGAAGCCTCTGAGCCTAGTTCAGTGGTCCTCAAAGTGTGGTCCCTGAGCCAGCAGCAGCCCAACATCTGGAACACGTTACACATGCAGACCTGCTGAGTCAGAAACTGGGAGGGGGGGCGACCACCTGTGTTTACGGCCCTCCAGGGGACTCGCATGCAAGTTCCAGTGTGAGAAACTGCTGGCCCCGATATGGATCTATGAATTTGGGGGCCAAAAGCAGCTCCATCTGCTCCTCCCAGGAAAGACTAGAGAGACAAAAATAGAATTTGGGGCCAAATTCTGTTTCCGACTGATGTCATTTGTTCAAGGCCAGGCAACTGGACAGAACCAGGGGCTTCCAGGTGTCCTCAAACCCCAGCACTCCGCCCACCGTACCCTCAAGGCTTCACCCCTCCCACAGCTGTGGAACCTTCCAACCTAGCCATGCAGAGTCCAGGGAGCAGTGGGTCCAGGTACCACATGATGCTCCAAGTTCTGATCACCAAGCCAAGTTGCTGACGGAGGAAAGGACACAGTCCACTAGGTGGCGCAGGTGGGCACCAGCTCCCACTGTGGGAATTCCTGTGGCTCTCAGAGCGGGATCTCTGCTCTAGGATCCTGAGACGGAGCAGACAAGGCAGGCAGGGTTCTCCTCTTTAGAAACATGTTACAGTGGAGAAAGCAGAGAATACACGTGGGAGCAGTAATTGAGGTTTGATGGATGCTGTGGAGAGAACAAGGTAATATGATAAGAGGGATGTGATGCTTTCCTGAAACTAGCCGGTCAGGGAGGT